TATATATATAATAACAATGTTAAATATAACAGGATATGTCATGTTTGTTAAAATATTCTCTTTTTAATCAGCAATATTACCATACATTACACTTGTAGCTCATAACCTGTTTTGCTTAGATCACGTTTTATTCATTCACACCCTATATTTCTTGGCATAAAATCATTGATTTATGTAAATAATATTTACTTATTTAAAAACAATATAATCAAAAGTCATTTGGTTGCTGGAAATGGAGATACATGTAAATAGTAAGCACAATGGAATGTTATGATGATTTAGATGCTTTGAGTGTCTCTTAGTCAAAAGCAGTCTGTGTCTGTGTCTCTCGGCTCACCCCTCTGTCCTCCAGTCTCCCATCCTGACAGAATCAATCAATCCTAATATGACTAATAAAGCACACGCACCTTTTAGTCTAATGTAGTCTCCTCAGACAGAAGCAAAGAACACATCTGTCCAAACAGTGCATCGGTCATAAATATAGCCTGAAACTGGCAGTGTTCAGATCTGCTGAAACGAACGTCACACAGCATGTGAATGGCTGAACATTCACACCAAGCCAAGCACCAAAAGCTGTTTAGAGAGGTAGAGGAGGGGAAAAAAGAGACAGTGAGGAACTGACATTCATTAAAACAAGACTATGACACTTATATACTGAGTAAGGCTTATAAACCTCTGAGGACTGTGATGAGAGCCTGAGAGAGGCTACGCTTGAAGTCACCTTGATCAAGGGCACTAGATGACATGAGTAAGTCTTCATTAAGATTCCTGTCAGCTCAATGTTTTATTCTGCTCTCGGCTAGACTGTCCTCTGAACCATATCTGTTTTCATTCACTTTAAATGCTGCAAATATATTTAAATAATAAACAAACAATTAAATAAATAAATACATAATTACAGAAATGTAAAAAAATACAGATTTTGTTTATTTTATTTAATCAATGTAACATATAAATAATTATATTAAATATTTTGGGAGTGAATTTCATATTTTAATTAAACACAATTATATAATATAATCTGACTCATAAAATAAAAACATTAAAAAATAATAAAATATAACAATGCTGTGATACGTCTCTTAATTTTTCATTGTCTTCCAAGCATACATCTCATATTCTCAAACATGCTCTTTACTCACACTTGTCTCCTTGGTAACCAAGTATACTAACATTTATGGAAATTATGCCACAACTGACAGTCGTAATTTCTCATCTTTCATGCAATAAATATTGAAATGGCTTGTTTATTGCACTCTTTGTTTAGATCATCATTTCATATTCACCTCTGATGCCTCAGTCTATGCTGTTTATGCTAGACATGAATGGTACACCTCAAAATGTTTTTTTTTAAGAGAGGAGTTACTGTTACTGTTTGAACTAAAATAATGGCGAAAAATGGAAACACCATCAAAAATAATGATGGATTTTGTTTGTGTTTGTTTGGTTCACTCGAGCAAGTAAATAATATTTCAGATAACAGATCAGATCTTATCAGAGGAAAGCCTGTGGGACAAGCTGCAGCCTCTGAACCAATGCAGCAGGTGAGGCGTGAGATTCGTCCTATCCATATTAATGAATACAGATTTATTTATTTACAAATATATAACAGACAGATGGTGGGGCACTGAAGTGTGGCTTGTCTTAGCAAAAATGCAACAGTATGTACACTCTAAAAAAAAATATAGCACTAAAAGCGGTTCTTTGGCTCGTAATCATAGGGGAACCACTTTTAGTGCTATTTTTTTTTTTTAGAATGATCTTATATAAGAGATAGATGATGAAAAATGCTACTACTATTACTATTGTTCTCACACACTTTACTATACGAAACTACATTACTATACGAAACTGGATTTTTTTTTATGAGCAATGCATCATTAAAACCACAAAAGTTTTCTAAAAAAAAGACCTTTCTGAAGAAACATCCACTTGTTTCATGTGGCTCGTTCCTGGCTCGTAGTTTCATATTGGCTCGCAGCCAATATCAAGCAGCCATTTCATGCACCGAGAGACAGATTCTGCTGAGATAATTGTTTTTTGGTCCACTAAGGTCATCTGCAAAGATCAAATGTGCCAAACGCATCTCAGATGAGAGCAAATGCAATTCAACTCAGAGTCATTATTGACCTTCAGTGTGTGACTTTTAGTCACAACTATTATTAAAGAGAGAGAGAGAGAGAGAGAGAGAGATACATTATTTATACTGCTCCAGTCACTCTGGCAGCAGTCATTTTACAACAAGAGAGAATCCATCAGTATTGTTGCTTTTTATCATGTCCCCTGCAAGAATGTTATTGATGTCTGGAATATTGGGGAAGTAAACACAGTCCAGGAATTGAGTGTTATGGT